GGTTAGGGTTCCCTGGAGGTTCCCTGCCTGCAGCAAGGGGTGGAACCAGAGGAAATTTAGGGTCCTGTCCCAGCCAAACCCTTGTGGGATTTCCTGGGTCTGGCAAAGAGGAGGTGAACTGTCCTGGGAAGGGGTGGAATTCCTTGGGGGCAGCGAGAGCTGGTGGTGCTGATGCCCCATGATGAGGTGTTTTGTGGTCTTCTGCAAGGACATTTCTTTCAGCCATGTGTCCTAAACACAAAATGAGCATCTTTGCAGAATTTTGGAAGGAATTCTTCCCTGTGAGGGTGGGCAGGCCCTGGCACAGGTTGCCCAGAGAAGCTGTGGCTGCCCCATCCCTGGAAGTGTCCAAAGTCAGGCTGGATGGGGTTTGGAGCAACCTGGTCTAGTGGAAGGTGTGGAACTGGATGGGCTCTCAGGTCCCTACAACCCAAACCTTTCCATGATTCCCAGCCCTCAAGGAACATCCTCCTCTCTTCAAGGCTTTCCAGATGCAGCCAGGAGAGGAAAGGGCCTCTATCCCTGTGAAGAACAGGCTCCTTTTAGCACTGGGGGTGAATGTTTGCAGCTCCCTGATCTGCTAAGGGCAGGATTGTGGTGGGAGCTGGGGGTGTGTGGGATGAAGTGCATGGAGTCAGAATGGTTGAGGTTGGAAAAGAGCTCCCAGAGCACTGAGTGCCACACTCAGTCATTCCTTGGACATCTCCAGGGATGGGGACTCCACACCTCCTTGGACAGCCCCTTCCAATGCTTGACCACCCTTCCAGTGAAGAAATTCCTCCTGCTGTCCAGCCTGAAGCTCTGGAAGTGCTGACAAGGCAGCAGCCCTTAGTTAGGTGGGGTTTTGCTGCAGAGCCTCAGAGTCTGAGAGGCTCCGGAGTCAGATGTCCTTGGGGGAACCTCTGCAGGCATCTTCTGCCACATTAAAATGCTTTTCTAAGGGATCTCCTTGGGCCACGAGCAGGAATCAGTGAGGTGGGAATCAATCCCACCTGTAGGTCCATGGGCAAGCTTGGCACAGCTGGAGTGACTGACAGGTGTCTCCTCCCATCCCAGGGCTTTGCCTTTGTGGAATACGAGGTTCCTGAGGCTGCCCAGCTGGCCCTGGAGCAGATGAACTCTGTCATGCTGGGGGGAAGGAACATCAAGGTGAGTGACACGCCTCCTCTGCAAATTCCTGCTTCTCTTTTCCTGGAAATGCTCCCCACAGCCCTGTGGTGGGGGAAGGAACCTAAAGACTGTTCCCTGATGGACCTTGATGTCCAACATGGGGCACACGGTGGCTCTGGGTCCCTCCTCCTGGGGAGAAACCTGCAAGTCCCACCTGAGACTGGCCCCAGGGACTGCACTCAGGTTTTCCCACCCACACATGGAATTCTTTTGAAGACAAAGCAAAGGGGATTCTTTATATCTTTCATGGTGTCTCTGACACGCCCTGAGTGTGTGCAGAGTGCCATGGCCCAGGGGGTTTAGGAGAGAGGGAGGGATGCTGTGGTTTGCTTGCAGAATGCTGCTCAGTCCCTGGAAGTTTGTGTTTGGCAGGTCAGGGAAGGTAAATGGGTACAGGGAGGAGGAGCAGAGCCCAGGACCCCGTCAGTGCAGGCTGTTCTGGGCCTGTTCCCTCTGAGCTGTGCTGTGCTTTGCACAGGCAGGGGCCANGCTCTTGACACTGCCAGGAACAATTCCCAATTCCCACAATCCCATTTATCCCTGGGTCCTGTCCCTCCCCAGCTATCCTGGAGCCCCTGAAATGGCTCTGAGGTGTCTCTGGAATGTTCTGGAACGTTCTCCTCCCCACATGAACATTCCCAGCCCGGCTCCATTCCCTGTGCCCCTGGCCCTGCACTGGAATTCAGGCACCAGGGGCAGAGCCAAGATGCGAAAAACGTTATTCACTTTTTGTTAAAATTTTAGAGGTTTAATAGTAATGAAAATTGTGATAAAAATTAGAATAATAAGAGATAAAAATTATAATAAATAAAAAATATAAATATAATAATGGAAAATATATGCTATATAAATATAAATAATTATATAAAGTTAAATAAATATAAATATTAACAAATAAATAAACTCAATAAAAATCAATAAAATAAAAGTAAATAAATAAAAATAAATAAAAACAAATAAAATGAAAATAAAGAAAATAAATTAAATAAAAATAAATAAGACAAAAATGGATAAATAAATATAAATAAAAATAATAAATAAAATAAATAAAATAATTTAAAAGCTAAATAAATAAAGTTAGATAAAATAAAATAAAATGAAAGTAAATAAATAAAAATAAATAAAATAAACAATAAATAAGATTAAAAAAAATACAAATAAAAAGTGAAGAATTGTGGAATTTGGGTGCCTGGCCCTCTGCATATGGCACACCTTGCTAACAAACGATTAACCCTTAAAAGCAGGAGCCTGTTTCATATTCATAGATCTCATACATGATTCATGGCATTTTTCTGCTTAGTTTTAGCTCCCTCCTCATCTTGTAAATCAATTTCCTTGGTTCCTCAAATTCTGGGTTTCCCCAATAAGGAGGCAACAATTCTTCTCTGGGATCGTGGTGTCTGTTATTTCTATATTTCTATTTCTGTGCTGTTATTCCAATCCAGATAGAATAATGAGAATTTCTTTATTATCTTTTCCATTCCTTGGGCAAATTACAAAAAGTATCTTACATCACATAGTTTCTATTTTAATATTATGCTACAGCCAAAAACCTATATTTACCACATTACCTAAAATAGATTAATACAGCACTATTTAAAAGAGATTAATGCAGCATAACTTTCCAACACAACACAGACTGCATTCATTTAAATATTTGTGTGAAAAACGCCAATCACTTGTTTTTTAACATTTTAAAAGTTTAATAGTAATAAAGTGGTTATAAAAAATAGCAATATAATTAGAGTAATAAAAATTTGGACAATTAGGACTAGGACAATACTATCTGGCTGCCATCTGGTGCGAGTGCTCTCTTTAAAAAAAGTATCTTACACAGCATAGTTTCTATTTTAACATTATGTTATAACCTAAAACTGTGTTTAACACACTACTTAAGAAAATTAACACAGCATCACTTTCTAATTGTGAAAAACACCAATCACTTGGTTTTAAAATTTAAAAAGTTTAATAGTAACAAAATGGTTATAAAAATAACTAGATTTAGGACAATATGAGACAATAAAAACAAAGAGTTACAGACAGTCCAGGTACCTCTCTCTGGGCAAAATAAGCCCGAAAAAAGACCCACGTTAACAGAGGATTAACCCTTAAAAGCAGCAGCCTTTTGCATATTCATACACCTCACACATGATGCATAAATTCCATTCAAACACAGGATTCTGTCTGGGCAGTGTCAGCTTCTTCCTCTGAGTCGTGACAGCATCTTCAGGGCTGAGCGAGGCGGGAAGAAGTGCCTTTCTTCTGATAACGGAGCAATAAATTCTCTTTCTCTGAAAGATCGAGGTGTCCTGTGGCTGCTATCTGGTGTGAGTCCTTTCTTTAAAAAATTATCTTATACAGCATAGTTTCTATTTTAACATTTTTTTATAACCTAAAACTACATTTAACACACTACTTAAGAGAACTAACACAGGATAACTTTCTAACATAAAACATACAATATTCATTTGAATATGTGCGAAAAGCCAATCATACAATACGCATTTTTTACACCTGCAATTTGTAATTTATTGATCCGGTCCGCCCCCGTGACCCATCCGGCACCTCCCGGTGCCCACGGCCGGTACCGGGGGGGTTCCGCTGCTCCCTCCCTCGGCTGCGACCAAAGGCAACCCGGTGTCAGTCGGATTTAGCACGTTCCATCCCGTTTTAGCTGGGTTTACTCGGCTTTAACGCATTTTAGCTCGTTTGAGCCCGTTTTATTCGGGGCCCGGCCAGCCACAGCCCTGCCCGTNTGCTGCTCCTGCTGTGCTGGGGATATCCAGCTCTGGCGCTGTCCTGGTGATCTGCACCATGCTGGTGTTCCATGCCAGTGTGCTGTGCCAGTGCTGCTCCTGCTGTGCCAGGGAAGTCTGCCCTTGGCATCCTGCTCTGTGCCAGTGCTGCTCCTGCTGTGCCAGGGAAATCTGCCCTTGGCATCCTGCTCTGTGCTGCCTTGTGCCAGTGCTGCTCCTGCTCTGCTGGAGGAATCCAGCTCTGGCATCCTGTGCTGTGCCAGTGCTCTGTGCTGCTCCTGCTGTGCAGGGGAAACTGCCCCTGGCACCCTGCTGGTGTTCTGTGCCAGTGCTGCTCCTGCTGTGCCAGTGGAATCCGGCTTGGCACCCTGTGCTGTGCCAGTGTTGCTCCTGCTGTGCCAGGGAAATCTGCCCCTGGCACCCTGTGCTGTGCTGGTGCTGGTCCTGCTCTGCCAGAAAAGTCCGGCTCTGGCATCCTGTGCTGTGCCAGTGCTCTGTGATGCTCCTGTTCTGCCAGAGGAATCCATCTCTGGCCTCCTGCTTTGTGCTGGTGCTGCTCCTGCTGTGCAGGAGAAATTGCCTCTGGCATCCTGTGCTGTGCCAGTGCTCTGTGCTGCTCCTGCTGTGCCAGAGGAATCCAGCTGTGGCATCCTGTGCTGTGCCAGTGCTCTGTGCTGTCCTGGTGGTCTGCACCACGCTGGTGTTCCATGCCAGTGCTCTGTGCTGGTGCTGCTGCTGGGCCAGGGAAATCTGCCCCTGGCACCCTGCTCTGTACTGGTGCAGCTCCGTGCTGCTGCTGCTGTGCAGGGGAAACTGTCCCGGGCATCCTGCTGGTGTTCTGTGCTGGTGCTGCTGCTGCTGNCTGAGCCTCCTTTCCTCCAGGCTGAGCCCCTGCCCAGCTCCCTCAGGTGCTCCAGGCCCTTCCCAGCTCCATTGCCACCCTGTCCCTGCAGGTGGGGAGGCCCAGCAACATCGGGCAGGCTCAGCCCATCATTGACCAGCTGGCAGAGGAGGCCCGAGCCTTCAACCGCATCTACGTGGCCTCGGTGCACCAGGACTTGTCCGATGATGACATCAAGAGCGTGTTTGAGGCCTTTGGCAAGATCAAATCCTGCACCCTGGCCAGGGACCCCACCACAGGGAAGCACAAAGGCTACGGCTTCATTGGTACAGCTGGGTGCACCTGGGGAGGGGGTGTCCTCTGTTCCTGGGCTGGGGCAGGGCAGGGGGTGTCGTCTGGGCTGCTCTCGGGGCTGGGATTTTCCTTAGGGGGTGGGAATAAATTTGGAGCAGGTCAGGGCTGGATTTAGAAATGTAATTTATGGTGGCTGTGAGGGGGTGAGGCCCTGGCACAGGGTGCCCAGAGCAGCTGTGGCTGCCCCAGCCCTGGCAGTGCCCAAGGCCAGGTTGAACAGGCTTGGAGCAGCCTTGGGACAGTGGAAGGTGTCTATGGCAGGGAGTGGGGCTGGAAGGTGTTTGAGGTCCCTTCCCACCCAAACCATTCCATAATTCCATAACTGAACAGGCTTGGAGCAGCCTGGGACAGTGGAAGGTGTCTATGGCAGGGAGTGGGGCTGGAAGATGTTTGAGGTCCCTTCCCACCCAAACCATTCCATAATTCCATGACTGAACAAGGGAAGGCTCACTAGTGAATGATCTCCTCCTGCAGAGTATGAGAAGGCCCAGTCCTCCCAGGATGCCGTGTCCTCCATGAACCTGTTTGACCTGGGGGGTCAGTACCTGCGCGTGGGCAAGGCTGTGACACCCCCAATGCCACTGCTGACCCCTGCCACACCTGGGGGGCTGCCCCCTGCAGCTGCTGTCGCTGCTGCCGCTGCCACCGCCAAGATCACAGCACAGGTGAGACACGGGCTGGGACAGGGGAGACACAGGCTGGGACAGGGGATGGACAGGTGAGAGACACAGGGTGGAACAGGGGAGGGATAGGTGAGACACAGGGATGGAACAGGGACAGCACAGAGCACCGCACAGGGTGTCCAGAGAGGCTGCCCCAACTCTGGAAGTGTTCCAGGCCAGGTTGGGCAGAGCTTGGAGCAGCCTGGGACAGTGAAAGGTGTCCCTGCTCGTGACAGGTGTGACTGGATGAGCTTTAAGGTCCCTTCCAGCACAAGCCATTCCAGGGTGCCATGATTGCAGATCATACTCTGTCTCAGGATTTCACACATGGAGGCTTGTCCCTGGCAGTGGGCAATCTGAGACGCCAGATTGTGGAATCATCTGGCACAGCTGATGAGACCTTCATTCCAAGAACTGGTGGGGAAGGGTGGAGGGAATTCCTAGTCTGGAAACCAAGCCAGCAGTGAGGGAAAAATGTTTGCAGGAGAGGCTGAAAGAAAGCAGGAGAGGACATGGAAGGGATGAGGACTGGGGGCAGAAGCCGCACTCTGGCTGCAGGTCACACCTGTAGCTGGGTGGAACAGGCCTGGGATGGCTTTAAGCTGCAAAAAACAGGGAAAGGCAGAGATGGGGTGGGTTGGATATTGGTACAGAGCTTGAGTTCTCTGATTTTGTTTTCCTGAAGTACCAGAAGCTCCTGGGTGGGACAGATTCCCAAGGCTGTGCCCCCCTCCCAGCCTTGGGCAGCAGGATCCCCCCATGGCACTGCAGCCCATGGAGCAGGACAATTACAGCACTGTTTGTGTTGTGGGGTTTGCTTGGGCAGGAATTGATGGGCAGAGCAGCCCCTGGTGGTGCTGCAGCATGGCTGAGGCTCCAAAAGGCTTTTTGGGAATGTTTCCCTGAAGGGGAAGGTGGAGGCAGGAGTCGGAGGAGCTGCTCCTCATGTGGAACTCACAGGTCCCAGGAGAGATTCCAGAGGGCTGGATAGCCCTGCAGTCAGGGCAGGGAGGAAGCTGAGACATGGCTGGAATTACCTGGATCAGAATCACTTGGGAAGGGAGAATGAACTCTGCTTAATGATGGGGATGTGGTACAGACACATGTAAATCCTGCTGTTCTGTCAGGAAACTGCAGGATCTGTTCCTGCCAGGAGAGTGGCACTAGAGAGAGAGGAGCAGGGGTCACCCCTGTCTGCCTGAGGGGGAAAAGTCAGACTTGCAGGGAAGTGAAGGAACCAGAAGTATTGGGAGAAGTTTTTTAGCCATTTCCAGTGGAGCCAGAAATTCCAGTGGGTTTGTTCCAGCACTTTCCCATTCTCCTTCAACAGGAGCTTCATCTCCAGTGGAAATAGGAGTGGCCTTGTGGGCACTGGGGGCAGAGCCCTGATGGGATGGGTTGGATCCCAGGGCTTGGGCATTTATGTAGGGGAGAGTTGGGATATCACAGCAGTCACAGATCCACTGACATCTGGGATGGAAGGACAAAACCTTGGGATCTTCTGCTCTGCCACACCAGGGATTACAGGAACCCCGAGAACACAAGGGAGAGGAGGATATGAGCAATTAAACCAGGACTGCAATGGCCTGGAAAGCAACAACAGCCAAAAACATGGGGATCCTGGAGTGTGCTTTAGGCACATTATTTCAGTACTTCCATGGAAGTGCTTGTTCAGCTGGATGTTCCTCCTGGATGCTGTTGGAGTGCTGGGTGTCTGGAGTCAGGGTGTTCCTTGGGATTGGAGTCCAGGAGGAACTTTTTCTTCCTTGGGATTGGGGCTCCAGGAGGTTTTTCTTCTTTGGGATTTGGGTTCCAGGAGGAGGTTTTCCTTCCTTGGGATATGGGTTCCAGGGGGAGCTTTTTCTTCCTTGGGATTGGGGTTCCAGGAGGAGGTTTTTCTCCCAGGGTTTCATTCAGAGTTTCTGTGTCCCTGCTGGCCTTGGTGACACCTCTGCCTTCCCTCACAGCCCTGGGAGCTCCTGGTAATGG